ACTCTCTCCAGGACATAACTTTCCAGGACTTAGTAACCATCTGTAGACACAGTTAAATATCTAATCCTGTACTGAAGATCTGGTTTCTGGTTTCACTTATCACAAAGTAAAACTCAAAGTTTTCAAGAGGATTCAGTCCTTCCGGATGTTCAAGACCACCAACACGCCAATTCCGAGGGCTAAAGAGTCAGAAACCAGCCGTCTGCTATCAGGCATGGCGCGGACCAGTCACTTTCAGCCGGCTTCTGGGTCATCAAATTCCCTCTGATTCCTCCCATAAGCAAGCCCACCTTGCTCTGGCATCTCTGGCTTTGGCCCTCCTCCTAAGCGCCCATTCACCACGGCAGAGCCAGCCGCTCACCTGTCCGGAGCCGCTCACCTGGATAGAGCCTTCCGCGCCCCACGGACACCAGCGCTCAGCTCCGGCTTCCACCGCCAAGTCCACCTCAGCTCACAGTCGATTGGTCGGTGCTCCAAAACGTCATTTCTAGGCGCCATGCTCTAGCCAATCAGAGAGAGCTTCTCTGGCTGACACAAGAAAGTGAAACAGTCAGGAAAGCTGCGCCTCCATCTTTGAATAGGGCAAGGCTGTACTTTCTCACCCTAAAACCTTTAGAATGTAGAGTTCCTTAGGATACATACTTTCTCGAATATATCCTTAAAATTTTTTCCTACACAGAACCTCGGCGCCTACGGAACCATCATCCAAACGCATCCAGAACTTCTCAGAGGACCGCCCTGACACAACACGACGTCTGTTTGCCTCAGGTGGAAGTCCCCCTCATCACCTAGCTACCGGGAAGCGAGAAGAGTGACGCGTAGCCCCAGAGGAACCCGAAGTTGTCCGGAAGAGGCCCTCAGCCTCCGGGAAGGGTCTAGGAGGTGACAGTCTCTGCCGCTAGTTGGTGTTTTTTTTGGGCTCAGCAGGTGCAGTTACTCTCTTCGCCTTACAAAACTTTCCCCTCTCATTGCTGCTATGGTTTTTGCGCTCAATAGAAACTGTTTCTGGTGAGCATCTTCCTGCCATTCACCACCAAGGAAATGAGTAATTGGGAACGGTCTTATTCAAGCATTTAAGGAAAATAACAGAGTCTATTTTGATGGGTAACATAACTTTTGTGACCGCTGCAGTCATTTTATACTTTCTTACAAGTGGCAAAAATAAATAAATAAATAAATAAATAAGCAAGCAAGCAAACAAATTCAGCGTGTGTGTGGTGCTTGCAGAAGCCAGAAGACATGAGATCCCATGGAGCTAGAGTTACCCTCTGTTGTGTACACCCTAACGTGTGTGCTGGGAATTGAACTCTTAGCAGTATACATTCAACCACTCAACCAACTCTTCATACCCCAAACTCTAAAATCTTATATTTATACTAAGACATGTTTAGACATTCAAAAAGTATCCATTAAGTAACCCAATTTACTATTAATGCAAACTTTTCTTTAAAACAGAGCCTAACTCTGTAGGTTTGGCTGGCCTGGAACTCACAGAGCTCTGCTTTCCTCTCTGTCTTCCTATGCTTCCTGAATGCTGGGATTAAAAGCACAGGCCATCACACCCAGATAAATCAAACTTTTTGAAGTCTACAAGTCATAGCACTTAATTTAAATAGTTGTTACTATGAAATATTACTATTTGCATTAAAATATTTTAAAAATAAATTTACATTTTTCATCATCTTAAATGTAATGTTATTAATGGCATATTTAAAACCTTAAATATGTTTGGGGAAGGCAGTTATCTCTTCCAAAGGAAAAATGTCCAAGTAAAGTAAAATATACATGTTCATTATATCTAACACTGAGAAAAAGAAATAGCTTTTTAAATGACAAGTACAAATGTGATTTTATTTGTCAAAGATTTCCCTTTCAATTTTTGAACCTGGCTTATTTCTGCACTAGTAATTTCTGTAGAGAGGATTTTTTTTAATTGCATGTTCAAAGTATAAAAGATTGAATGTCCTTACTTGGGGGAATTTTTGAAGTATTTTATTTATATAAGAGTATACTTGCAGGGCAGTAGCAGTGCATGCCTTTAATCACAGCACTCAGGAGGCAGGGTCAAGGAGATGTCTGTGGGTTTAAGGCCAGCATGGTCTACAGAGTTAATCCCAGAACAGCCAGGGTTACACAGAGAAACCTTGTCATGAAAAGCAAAACAATGAAAAACTAAAAAAAAAGAAAAAAAAAACCAAAGGTACTTGTTTCTGTAACACAGATCTTTTCAATTGGAGAAATATAACAACTTAACGTGATTGACTCCACACAAGGGTGGCAAGATGCCCTGTTCTCTCACAGGAATGGATGTAAGTCTTTTTTTGTTTTCATTCTAGCCCAGGCAGACATGTTGACATATAAAGAACAGACAGCTTTAGTTCTACAGTCTCAGCCCCAGGTCAAAAAGAAATTCAGAAAAAGTTTGGTCCACTAGAGAAGACAACACTGTTCTTCCCCATTGGTGTGGCAGTCTTATAGAATGACAGAGAGTCAGAAACTAGATTTGCTGCCACCTCTTACCTAGAAGAATACCTCTGTAAACCTTAGTTCAGTTAAAGGGAGTACCAAATGGCTGGTAAAATGAAATTTCTGATTGTTGTTACAATCAGTAGGAGAAGAGTAAACTAACCAGCCATGAGTCAATCAGAAAGAAGAACTGAAAATTATTAGAAAGAAAGCTAAAAGAACAGTCCCCTCTACTTAGCGTTTGCCTTCTAGGACCCAAGGGAGAAAGAAACAATTTAGCCTCAACGGCCTGTAATGTGCTCTTCAGTAATGTGAATCCAGGTCCTATCTGGAATCTTAGTGAAAATGATTAAGTGTAGACCATGGCTAAATGGCTCAGCAGATGAAGATGCTTACCTATAAGCCTGTGGACCTGAGGACCATCCCTGGAACCCACGTAACTATTGAAGAAGAGAACCATTTCCACAAAGTTGTCCTCTGATCCCAACACCCATGCCATGGCACATGCACCCTCCACACAATAATAATGATAATGATAATACAATAAAGTTTTTTAAAAGAAATAATATTATACAAACAAGATGTTCCAAATAACTTACTTAACTCACCTATTAATGAGGAGACCAAATGGGATGTTAAAATTGGTTTTAAGAAAATTCCATTTATAAAAATTTATATTCTCTACCATACAGTATTATATACATTGTTATGGGGATCAGTTTTTTTTGTGTGTGTGTGTGTGTGTGTACCTATCAACTTTCTAAAGTTAATCTCTGTCTCTATCAACTTGTATAGTGACATAGTCAAGGTATAAAAGTACACATCCCTCAGATGACACCAGTACATCTCATAAAATGCCAGTTAGTCCATGAAATATAATTTCCTTTGTCTATTTCAAAATGTTTTACAAGACTCCCAGCATATTGTAATGGCTAATATTCTCAACTAAACTGGATTTTAGAACCACCTAGGAAACATCACTCTGGATATATCTAAGAGAACATTTCCATACAGGATTAACTGAAGAAGGAAGATCCACCCGAAAATAGCTGGCACCATCTCCTATGGTGGGGGCCCAGACAGAATAAAGTGGGGAAAAGAGATGGCCAGATGAGTATTGGTTTTCCCTTTCTCTGTGGTTGACACTAGAGACTAAGCCATCCTGCCTCCATGTCTTTTCAGCATAATAGATTCAGAACTGTGAGCCCTTATGCCTTCCCACTACAATAGACTGTGTTTCTCCAAACTCAGAGTTAAAATATATCCTTCCTCCCCTAAGTTGCTTTTTGTCAAGATGTTTCATCACAACAACAATAAAAGTCTATACAAAACAATACTGTACTGAGAAGTAAGTTTATTCTGTGAGGAACATGATCAGTGTATTTCCTGGGCCTTTCTGAACTGTGTTTACAGAACAGTGTTGAAGAATGTGAAGCTGTAGGCCACAGATTTAGAGAGTTGTAAGCATTGATGAATCTCACCCAATGAGATTTTTGGAAGGTTGGAATGTCAATAGAAACATGAACACCAAAAGGTCTGCTCATGGCGTTTCAGATGGGAGCAAAGACTGCTGAGAAATAAACAAGAGATCATTGGTGTGGCAGTCTGACAAGGCTATGGCTGTGTTTTCACTGTGTCCTGAAAATTTGACTGAACAAAATTCAGTAGAGGCCATCTATTGGTCCACAACACAACATGAACATAACCCTAAATTCTGCTGCCACTCAGATGCAGGCAGATCCTGGTGAGCCACAGAAGTCATGGCTTCTGCATGCCTTAGACACTGAAACTAGGCAGGCTCTGAAGTGTATAAGAGTGAAGGAAACCAGCCACAATCAGATTGGACAACCTGAGTTCAACGTCAGGGACCTTTGCATATACACTCATCTATGCTCAAAGATACACAACACACACCATGTGTGTACACACATGATCATTTAAAGCAATAATGGGGCTGGAGCGATGGTTCAGCCATTAAACATAGAGACTGCTCTTTCAGAAGACTGGAGTTCAATTCCCAACATTCGCATTTGGCCCAATGCCTGTAATCCAGTTCCAGAAGACGCAACACTCTCCTCTGGATTCCTCGGGCACTCCCGCATATGTTATGAATATACACATAAGTAATTCTTGCGGAATATGGTGACACTCCTTTAAGGCCAGCACTCAGGAGACAAGGCAAGCAGATCTTTGTGAGTTCTAGGCCAGTCTGGTTTACACAGACAGCTCCAGGCCAGTAAGGGCTGCATAAAGAAACTGTCATAAACAAATTAATGAAAGTTCATTTGAAAAATAATCCTTCCTTAAAGAACTATTGGTACAACTAATAAAAAGATAACACATTCTGAGCATGCTGTTGCCAGTCCTTCATAAAGGATGTGGACTATGAGAACACTGGAAAAGGATAAATCAAAAGTAATTAATATTTGACGGTAATTCACAGAATTTGAGTGTTGGCTCCTTGTGCTCTAGCCAGAGAAGGCATAGGCCTGCGAGTATCCAAGAACTACAATTCCCAGAAGGCTTCAGTGCGGACTCTAGGCCGGATGTAGTCTTGGTCTGAAACTTGCTAGTCCAAGCTGGGCAAGGGTCTCCCACGTCTACATTCATGGCGTCCCCTAACAAGGCAGTGATTGTTCCCGGGAACGGAGGCGGGGATGTGGCCACCCACGGCTGGTACGGCTGGGTGAGAAAGGGGCTGGAGCAGGTAAGGAATGGTAGCCCCTGCTCTTCGATCAGCTTAGCTTGGAGTGAAGGGAGAAAGAACGAAGGGCGAGGCTCGCGCCTGTGCCCACCCTACCGCAGATGTGGTCAGTATCCTTCTTGGCGAAGCAGCTCAAAAAGCTGAGGGCTCAGCTTTTGAGACTAAAAGGACAACCTGTTGTACAACTGGAGAGAATGCCCCCTCCCCACCCCCATCTGCTACTACTTCAGAATCCAGACTTTCCAAATATTTTGTTTATACTCATTAATTTTTTTAATTCACCGTATGATATTTGATATATACAAAGAATTGTATAATGTACAATAAACTACCAAACTCAGATTTTTTTCCTGTGCTGTCTAAACCCAAGGTGTCTTTGATTGTGTGTCCTGTACAATTGAGCTACACTCCCAGCACAAATTAAACTCTAGAACCTTGTCAGTAACTTCTGAATAGTCTGCCCCCCGTCCCATCTGTGTGACATTCTGAAGTTTATTTTGCTTCTCTTTAAATTATTTTGTGCAGGGGTCATATGGAGGTTAGAAGACATTTTTGGAATCAGGTCTTTATACCTTTGCATGGGTTCTGGGAATCGAACTCCGGTCACCGGACTTGTACTGCAAGTGCCTTTGCCAGCTGGGCTGCTTTTCTGGTCTTTTTGCTACACCTTTTAAAACTTTAAATGTATTCTTTTACAACCATGCATATAATCTTTAAACAACATATTGTTTAATTTGGCTTCTTTGTGAACTTTATTGAAAAATCATTGCACCCTAGGTTGTCTTGTGCTTAACTTTTAATAAAAGAAAAAAAAAATCCCTCTTCCATAGCCCTGAGTTAGTTTCCTGCTTTGGCCTCTAGAATAGAATTTCAGGAGAAAATAAAAGTCTGCTTGAAATAAAACTTCAGGGTTGTGGCTGAGAGCTATGGGCAAAGCTACCAACTCACCAGTCAAGCTGGAAATGGCCAGTAGGATGGGATGTCCTGCTTTCTCAGTGGTGTCTCTGTTCCTTTTGACTGTTTTTTCTGGGGCACACCATTCGGCTCAGGTCATTCTTTCTCTAGCACATTCACTTAGGTCTTCTCTATAGATACATTACTTGGAGATGAGCATAGATTGCAAGTGAAGAAACCAATCTCTGCAGAGTTCTACAAAGCTGGATAGAGAACTGTGTGACCATATACTCATCCTATAACACTACTTAATCTATTTCACGTCATAATATTAGCAAATATTTACTGAACTAAGTGAGGTCACATCAGGTGTCACGTTTTTAAGCTCTTTATCATAGTTTTTTCTTCTCCCTTACATCACAGATTCCTGGTTTCCAGTGTTTGGCTAAAAACATGCCTGACCCAAGTAAGTTTGAAATTTGTTTTTGAAAAGCCTCATCTGTTAGATTTTGAGCTCACCATTTGTAGGGTGGAGCTTGGAAGCAGGGATGTCATAGAAAAAAAGGACAAAAATACACACACACTAAGAACAAATAAAGCAAGGAGCTCGAGGTGGTGGGTCTAAGCCTACACACGCACACACACACACACACACACACACACACACGCACACACACGAAAGATTTCAGTAATAAGAAAATCACCTGGGAAATGATAAAATTTAACTTTTAACTTTGTAAGGTAGCAACTGTATTTTCCATGTATAAGTGTCCATAGACATTTTTAGGCAAAATTCAGGTGTTCTATTTGAAACAGGTAAAATAAAGCTTTACAGTATCTAGTTGAGTTCCTATGTATTTAAAATTATAAGATTGCCCATTTTGTGGGGAAGGCTCCATCTGTGCCTTGGTTCAGGAAAGAAGTAATATAAATCATATATGGATTTTGGAATGTTGTTGAGTTTCTTTTCTTTTTTTTAAGATTTATTTATTTATTTTTATGTATGAGTACACCATTGCTATCTTCAGACACACCAGAAGAGGGCATCAGACTCCATTGCAGATGGTTGTGAACCACCATGTGGTTGCTGGGAATTGAACTAGGACCATCTAGAAGAGCAGTCAGTGCTCTTAACCACTGAGCCATCCCTCCAGCCCTGTTGTCGAGTTTCTTTTGTGCATTTTGTTTTTCTCAGTGCTGGGACTGAACCCAGGATCTCACACATCCTAGACGGAGTGCTCTGCCCCTGAGTTATACCTCCAGCTGGGTATTTGCCAAGTTTACATTTTCACATTAAAATATCAGAGTTGAGGCCAGTGATGATGCCTTTAATCCTGACACTTGGGAGCTCAAGGCAAGAGGACTCTGGTGTGGGCTACACAGCAAATCCCACACTAGTGTATGGTACACAATGAGGAGGCTCTATCTCACAAAAGAAAAATGGGTGGGAGGGAGACTTCACTTCAGTTGTAATTTTTTTAAGAACATAGTAAGTGTAGAAGGGAGAGGCAGAGAGTAAAACTCTACTAACCCACAGGACAAATCTGCTAACACAGCCTCATTGACTCAGCCTCCATTTAAAAGCTGTGAGCTGCTCTTTACTTAGAGAGGTGGGACAGCATCAGACTTACAGACTGCCCCAGGTACCAGACTATTTTACCCTGACCACAGTTACAGCTCGAGAGAGCATCTGGCTGCCCTTCATGAAGACAGAGCTGCACTGTGACGAGAAGACTGTCATCATAGGCCACAGTTCCGGGGCCATTGCAGCCATGAGGTATGATCCTGTTGAATTGCTGCCCTGTGTGGGTTGTAAACATGCTTGCCTGGGAAATAGTTGTTTCTTAAGTTTCCATTGCAGAGGAAGGAAACAGACCTGACCTCAAAAGTGGTAACATAATCTGTCCTAATTTCTTCCTTGTTTGTTAAGGGATTGAAAGAAACTGGTTGCTCTTACCAGGTGCAGTGATCCTTTAAAAGCTTCTGTGGCCCCAAAGAACCTTCCTGTTTCTCAGCTCTCACCTCTTCTCTCCTCCTAACCAGGCATAGTGATGTCATTGTAGTTCCTGGAATATTCCAAGTACACACCTGCCTCCTCCTGCTCAGCCTTCTAGTGGGGACGTCATCTTACAAGCCGCCTGGCCTTCTCTGCATGCATGTCCCTTTTTGGATGAGATCTATACTCTGTCCATATAAAAGACCAGCCTTGCCCTACTGGCTCCGATCTCCTTTGTCTTTTATTACCTACAGGGTTTTTTGTGCTTTTTGTTCGTTTATCTGCAGCGTTTTATCATCCAACATACACTGATTTCTTCTCTGTCCCTATTAATAGAAGAGGAGCTCCATGGAGGTGGGGCCTTGTTCAGTGACAAGGCATCACAGTGCCTAGGAAAAAGCCCAACATGTTCAACAAATAACCTCTTGGACAATAGAGGCTGCTTTCCCTACCTACCCACAACCCCCTAATCCTTGCGGTTCACATGTACACCCATTAAATAATGCGTCTATCAAAATCTCTTGTCTTCTCCATTAGCCTATTGAGTAAGGAATTAGCTGCCCGCTGTTTAAGGTTGAGCTTTTTCCATAGGTCCTACCCTGGTAACAAAGGCTGTTCCAAGCAGTCATTCAAGATACTGTATGAATTGTATGTCATGGAATCTTGCCAGATTTTATCACCTTATAGCTACACTACAGGGTCAAGGAAATGGGGATAATATATTTGAGTTCAGATCCAGAAAACAATGGTGCAGTAATAGCAAAAAGGATGTTTACAAATGTGCAGGGGGAACGGTGCTGACCTCAAAAGTGGAAACATGATCTGTCCGTGTCTTCCTTGTTTACCAGCTATTGGTAAAGCTGTATTTTTTTTATGTAAGTCTTCTGAATTCATTAGGACTGTCAACAACCTTCTAAGACTAGACTCCTAAAGTTAAGAGAGGGAAAAAAAGGAAAAGAAAAGAAAAAGCCTGAACTGTCAGTGTAAGGGTATGAAGAAAGAGGACACTGATAAAGTCATAAGGGGCCAGCTAACTGACTTATTATTAAGGAATACTTAGATTGAGCCTTTTCAATAGAAAGTGCTAGAAACACCTTAACAAGCAATCAAACTTAGTGTCACTGATAGTGGGACACATGAACATGTGTCCCCAAAGTGACGGCAAGACTACCTTGGGAAAAATGTTTAATCTCAGTCTTATAGTGAGAAAACAAGTTCAGTTTAGGAAACTGACCTAAACTCCTGTATGAGAATACAGGCAGCGCTAAATGTACTGAGTGTGATAATGTCACTAAGGTTATTCATGGGAGACCCACACGAAGATAAGTGTAAAGTGTGGTAGCCTTTACCACAGTGAATCTGGGTGCTTTTCATTTCTTCTGTGGGTTTGCTGTTTCTGAGTAACCAGATGGGGGGAAAGGTGTTGGGGACCAGCCTCGACACAGGATCGGAGTTCTCAACTGGAAGCAGGGATATTTGGAAGGCGCATAGTAAACACACAGAGACAACTTTTCAGGTAAAACTGACAGGCAATTTTCCAGGCGTTGCGCTCTCTCTCGCTCTCCCTCTTTCTCTCTATCTTGCAGCTTGAGGCTACACACACTCTGTATTCTCTTGTGCAGTCTGCTTTTCTCCTGTGCACTTTTCTTTTCTCAAACTCCCACTCTTACAAACCTCTGTGAATTCTCCTTTCACTCTTACACTCTTCACACACACCTCATACACACATGCACTCTTTCACTCACACACACACTCTCCATACATTCTCCCCACACTCTCCACTCACTCCACACACACCTCACATTCTCTCTTCACTCACTCCTCCCTCTCTCTCTCTCTCTCTCTCTCTCTCTCTCTCTCTCTCTCTCTCTC